CTAGCTGGCTAATTAACCATTCATCATTCCAATTTCAATTAGAATTTTGTAATATTAGCACCTTCTATATATGCATAGTTTTCATTAGTTATGCAAGAATGTAATTAACTAGTGACATAGCGTTTTAATAATTACCCATAGCCAATCTGAAAATGGCCCCTGGCTGTCTATCAGGACATATTTGAGACTGCCTAATTAGCCAGTGCTAGCTAAAAGTCAGTTACGGGCAATGAGTGACAATGTACCTCACTCGCTAAATTCTTCTAACAAATTAAAACTTATACGAATTTTGGATACATTTTGGGGTTATATTTCTTGTCGAGTTCATCTGCACTTTTAGTAACTTTCAGATTCCAGAGCGTGAATTTTGCCATCACGGTAATGCGAACGACAACTAGCATGCTAATTATGCACTTCTTGGATTTTGGACAGTAAAAAACGTCATTTGTAGTTAGATTATGGAAAAACAATATTATCACAATTATTTTGGCCAATATTGAAATTGTGATTATTCAAATGGTTATTTTTTTAGTTACACAGTGCATTTATTCAGCATTTCTCTCTAAAAAACACTTTTTTATTGATCATTTACGCAAAACGTTCAATCTGAAAATAAATATAGTTTACAAATATGAACCTTAGAGCAGTTTTGCGATGTATAAAACATAAAATTAATAAAATATACTTAACATAACATGAAATAAAGCATAGAAAAACATAATTGTATCCAAAATAAACTATATATCCAGCTGTTCTACAATCTCTGTACTTAAAAAATTATAAATTTTATATTTAAAAAATAATAAATATACTTGTTTATATAAAAAAAAAATCCAAAAATAAATTTTGTTAAGCTTTTATCATTTCAATTCAGTTATATGAAATTGGAGATCATTTGACATACAAAATTTGATTAATCAAAATTTGATTAATTGCACAGTCCTAACACAGCTGACTTAATTGCACTGTGCACTGTGTAACTGTAAGGAGATGTTATTTGTTTGTCCAGAATGTTCCACAGTAGGGCGTTAAACATATATCTCTTGCATTTGTTTAATTACAAGTGTTTTATAGCTCAAAACACCTTGTAAAAAATATGAATTCTTACCATGTGCAGGCTTGCTTCTCCATAGATCTGACCATTATCTTCTATTGTCTTCATTGTGATTACCAAATTTATTCCCATAGTGTCGAATAATCAAGGAAAAAAAACTTTAATATCTCCATGGAAACAAGCAGGCGTGAACCTTCCAACAGAAAAGTTACACAGTCATCATCTTTATCATCTTTATTCCGGACTCATGGTCCATTTTTAAAACAGACGAGGACAGAGACATTACAAAACAACAAACATTTATGTTTTTAAAAGACAATCATACCAGTGTCTCCACATACTGGACTGAATCTTATATTTGTGAGTGACATTATTTCATTGCCATTTGTTCAGTCTGCAGATAAAACTGTACATTAAAATTCTTAGTACAACTTGCAGTAACAAACATCTCAGTTGCACTCGTCAAAACTATTGGCTTTTTTGTAATGAATCCAGAGGTGGGCTGTGTACAACGGTGTACATATGAATATATGAATATGATTTGCCTGAGCATAGAATGTCCTACACTGTCTATACTTATATTCATAATTTGCCATGTCCGCAGTGATGATGTGCCCAAGATATTTCATTTTTGTTGTACCAGACACCACATTTGACAGGCAAAAGTCGGGACACCTCATCTGTTTATCTTCTTTGGTCCTACAGATCATGACCACAAGCTGAACAGATGTTGAGTAGCTGCTGGAGACCTGCAGTGCTTGGACTAAAATCAGCCAAGTCATCTGCATACATTAATGATTCACAACAAGATTTCCAGCCACACAACCAGTTTGACATGTTTTAAGCTCACATTTGTTGACAGTGAACATTTAAGAGCTGCTTTTACAACATTTCTCTACTGGGGCAAGACACGTTTTGCCCAAATACATAGAAAAAAGCAATTGGGTACAGGGCCTTCAACTACTCCAAATATTTAGTAATACTAGCTTGGACAAGAGCGTCACATTCACTTTAAGTTTTGGAGTTGAAGTTATTGCTTTGCGGTCAGTGGTTTCCTGTTACTCCTTGTATCCGAAAACTGCCCCTAACCACTTGCGCCATCTGCAGAAACAATAACCCATAATCAATAAACACAAATGTGCCTTTTCACACACGCGTATCCCTCCACCCCTGCCCTCCGCTCCAGGTCACGTCGTCTTTTCCAAACCCCTCTCCGGTCGCGTCTGTAGCGGTGTCGCTGCGTCTGACCTCCGGGGGGGTCACCGGGTCGCACTCCCCCCCCCCCCGACCCAGTTTGCTCCCCACGGCTGTAGAGGTCGGCTGGGGAGGCCTTGTGACGACTGCCCCGTGTCAACGCAAACAACGGCGGCTACAGCTCCTCTCTGGTGGTATTCCCATTGAGAAAGATATATAGCTTCAAAAGTAGATACTAAAACGTAGCAAAAGTCCCCCCAGAGACCAAGAGAGGGGAGGAACCACCATGTGTGAAAAAGATACAATTGTTATTGTGTGTCAAGATACTATATTTTAAAGACTATAAGGGGCACCGGACTATAAGGCGCAATATCAGTAATGTTGAATTCTCTTGTCTTTTTTCATACATAAGGTGCACCGGATTATAAGGCGCATTAAGTGAAACAAACCATCGACACTTGAGACTGATCCTTAGCCCAGGCGTCCACAATCCATTGGCAGACCTTGATGTAATTTGCCCGGTGTTGTCTCCCTGTCTTGGTGAATGTGTTTTATGATTGTGAATGTGGAGGGATCATTTAAGTTTGTTTTTTTATTTCCCACGAGTTCGACTCATTATTACTCATTGAGTAATAATGCGTTTAATGCAACTTTGCGCACATTTGTTTGTTTTATAGAAACAAAACTTAAAACCACATGGTTATTTTTTCACAAATTATAAGCTCTGAAAAGACAGTTCGCACCTTGTGCGCTGATGTGGTTCAGCTTCTGTCAGACTCCGCAAGGGTCCTGACTACAGTAGCTGGAATGCTCCAACAATCCATCAAGCAGTGTGGTTTCGTAGCTTAGCAGCCCTGTTTTTTTCCTGGTTCAGTCCCAGTTTAGTCCTAGTTCAGTCCTGGTTTAGTCCTGGATTCATCCTGGTTTAGTCCTAGTTTAGTTCTGGTTTAGTCCTGGTTTAATCTTGGTTTAGTTCTGATTCATTCCTGGTTTAGTCCTGGTTTAATCCTAGTTTAGTCCTGGTTCAGTCCTGGTTCAGACTAGGATTCATATTTATTTCATACAATCCTTTTGTTTTATTGACACATTTAAAAAATTTATACATTTTCTAAAACTAAGTATTTGTATTGGCCATATTATAGTATAGACTCAATGTCATGACATATTTCAGCCACTAGGGGGAGCAGTGCCATCCCTGACCCCCCACAAACTCCACCTATGATTAGCAAGCACAAACACACTTTAAGTTCGATTAAAGTCTAAACAGAGCAGAGCCTCCAGTTAGCGTCATACCCCAGGGAATGTTGATGATATCAGCTGTGTATCAGTATCAATACAGATTTCGATTTCAAAATCACAGTACATTTCTGGTACTTTTCTGTCCTGTGAATGCAATTTTTTTTTGTATCGGTACCCGCTCAGTTTCGATACTAGTGTTAATAACAATTAGTTTCTGATTTTCGATACATGTGACAACTCCACTTGTTACTTTATTAAATTTTGAATGGTATTTTTAGCGATAAAAACGTAACTGAATAAATATTAGACACATTTAAAGCCAGACGGTGGAATGTTCCAGACAAACCAATAACATCTCCAAGCAGACAACCCTTCAAAACTAGATCCTAAAACGTACCAAAAGCTCCCCCGGGGACCTAGAGTCACCATGTGCGAAATAGATAAACTTCCCATGGGGACTTGAACGCAACACAGCAGTCAGTGTGGAGAAAAAAAGAAAAGAACTAGTAGCACGGAAAGAGTGTTAGCGCTTAATATAGATGTGAACTCTTCAATGTTTGATGAAGACATTTGGAAGACTTAATGCAGAACAGTGGCAGGAAAAGTGGGGAAATAGAAAAGTGAAGTGAAGCGTGGCGTATGCGCTGAGTGCTGTCGTGTGGTGTCCTCGTCTCCAGAGAATCTTCCAGAAGACACAGGAGGACCATTTCCGCGCATTGAGGAAATCTGTTTTGCAAAATCGACTTTTACGAGCTGTCAACCATGTTATAATGTTGTCAATATAGATGCATTAGCCGGGATTACGTTTTGTTTCATTCAAGCATGTTTAAGTAATGTGGTTGGAGGTCGACAAACAGTTTCTTTCAGTTCTTTATCCTTGGGTTTCAAAATGATAAAAATTAGGTTTGTTGCACAGTTTAAAGTCTAAAACAGTTTAAAACAAAAAAAAGCACTGAAGGAAGTTTTAAGTTCTCCTCAATGTTCATACACCTTCTACGGACTTCGATGGATTCTAACAATTTTATCGCTCGTTCCTTTGGTTTTATGTCGTTGATTAACATTGCTGCTCATGCAATTTTTCAATATTGTTCACTCCCTAATGTTTCCAGCAGAGGGCAGCAGATGTCATATCCTAGCATTCTCTCTCCAGCCAAGAAACAAAGGCAAAAATTAAACACTTTTACATAATATTTTAAGCTATAAAGAAAAAGTACAGAGCAAAGGTGTTCTGGTATCAAAATTTCAAACCCAATTTTGATTCTAAAGTTGGATAAAAAATGTATTTCTAATGTGATTTTACGCTAGTTCAGAAAAAGATCTACCCCTTTGTAAATCGATTCAAGAAAAGCTGATTTTGTGATTTATTTTCCTCATCATATTGTTCAAATTAGTCTCTAGTTCCGATACTAGTCATTGAATCAGTTAGTGTCTAGGTGCTGATGCTTTGACAACCCAAACCTGTTGTCATCTAATTAAACTCAACTTTCTCCTCTCTCTTCTCTGATCTTTCTAGACTTCAACTGCAGCGATCCTTTGGGGATGGAATCGGGAGAGATCACGTCGGACCAGATCATCGCCTCGTCCGAGTACAACCCCAACTGGTCCCCTGAGCGCTCCCGACTCAAGTACTACGAGAACGCATGGACTCCGGCCGAAGACTCCAACAAAGAATGGATCCAGGTAAGACACTTTATAAGATTTATAAACTTGAATGGACACTAGAGAGAAGTTTGTTGAAAGCAAAGAAAGATGATTGTACAAAAGAGTAAAACTTCTGCCGGTGAAGTGATGAAAAGACTGAGGAGGCTGATGATTCTGCTGTTGCGGTGGAGATGGAGCAGGCTAACCAGATGAAAGAATAGGAGTGTAACAATATCCAAGTCTCATGATACGATATCGTCAAGGTATGAATGTCACGGTACGATATTTATTGCGATATCGTAGGAAACTTGCGATTTGGTGCAGATACTCATGATTAGGGATGTAACAATATCCAAATCTCTCAGTATGATATTTTCATGACATACGTTTCACATTGCGATATTTTGTGAAGGCTTACAAACAAAACTGTTACTATCCAACCTTTTCTTCTGTCTTGACAAGACTTAATCCAAAGAACTAAGACTTAAAAGTGCTTAGAACTGTTATTTCTTCTTGTAGTCTGCACTGAAATGGAGCAAAGGATATTTATGTAGTCTTTTTTAAGCTACTGCTCTACCTTAACTTAATTAAAGCTAAGAAATTTGTAATTTGATATATTGTGATGGTCGATGATATTATTGTGAGAACTCTGACGACACGATATCACGATATTTTGGTTATTGTTACATCCCTACGAAAGAGTGCATTTATATCAACTCATTTAGGGAATAAAATGTCATGCAGTCACTAAGATACCAAAAAATACTCTTGGCGATATGTTGACACAGCAGCCCGTGATAACGATACTGTCTCATGAGATTTAGTTTTGCGATATATCGGTATTTTTAAATAATTTTTACACTAATTAAAAGAGGCTTTGTAAGTATGAACCACAAAACCAAAGCACTGTCCTATATCCCCAGATAAACTCCACTAAACTTGGAATTTGAATTGAAATTACTAAAAAATTCTTGATGTTACTGAAGTCGTGGTAATATAGGAAGTGCTCCACTCTGTTTTTAAACTGCATATCCTTTTATTTCAACCATTTGCATAATTTCAGCCCTGGGATTGCCGATCTCTACTGAACAAAAGTTAAAAGGAAGGAGCTGTTAACTAGAAAACTACTGCTTCATGACATCACAAGGTAGAACAGAGTATTTCGAGCTTTGGAGATGTAGACAGACTACTGTATTTTCCGGGCTATGGTGCGCGCTCTTAAGCCTCCAACCCCAGCGAACCGAAAAAGCGAGTGCAATGTGCCACTTCTAGACACAACTGAACAACTGAGTCACTGTGAACACGCCGACAATCCGTTGGTCCCAGACAGCACCTCCCTACACGCCACAACTGAACAAAGCCCAGAGTCACCGTGAACACCACAAACAAACAAAACCACTCACCCATCACACTGTTGTGTTTCGTTTTTTGTTTTTTTTTGGTGAAAAATGTTCACAACAAAACAACTCCAGGTCTGTTCTTGAGGACATGACTTCAAGCTCACAAGAGTCCGTTTTGCATAATATAAGATCTTAAAGACCTTACTTCTTGTTTTTACGATTTGAAAACTGGATATTACAACTAGACACAAAAAGCAGCATTTTGAAGGACAGTCCAACCGCATTATATAAAGAAAGCCGAGTAAATATATAAGTAAAGTCATTCAGGCAGCAGCTGTGTGCGGGTGAGTCAGTGAGGAGTGACTGGGGGAGGCTGGGACGCGGTAGGGGCCCTCTGACGGCGGCCCCCAGCTCCTCTCTCATGTGCGCTGTCATTACTCAACCTGTACAGTGACAAAGCCCATCCATCCTCCTGGACCTCCACCACAGCCCCTGACAGTGAGGGAGTCGTGCTCTGTCAGACCGTCTGCCTCTGCTGCTGCTAGATACTATTTTGAACCTGTTGTTGCATCAAAAGTAAGAGGAGCTGAAAATAGATAGGAGGTAGTTTGATGTCCTGGAATCGAAATGTCGTAAATGCTCAAAATGATTAAGTAAAACATTAATTGGAATGGAAATTATAATGAGAAATGTGCGTATTTGGCGTAAATTAATGTTTTTAAAGTGTATTTTAAGGCTTTTTTAGTAGCATAAACCAATATTTTAGGGATGGGACGAGACAATTTCCACAAGACGAGACGAGATACGAAATTGGGTCCACGAAAATGAGATGAGATTTTAATTGAAGTACATAAATTTCACGATTCAGTTTCCAATTTTGGTCTCACAATTTTTGTTTATTTGATTTCATATTTTTGTTTTCCCATTCCAGTACTGCTTTTTAACTGTTAAAAATATCTAACTCATCAACCCGTAACCATTTTTTGTCCAATCCAAATATGAACACTTGGGAAAAAATCTCAAGAAATATTTTTTCTCATGTGTGCACGATCTTGTGGCAGTTTTGTCTCATGAGATCTTGTAGCACGAGATTGTGTGTCATCCCTACAAAATTGTGATTCTACTTCAAAATTGTTGTATTGCTCAAGGCTGAGTGGTGAGGAGGACAAAAAGGCAATCACAATTTTTGGAACACAATTTTGAAAAAAATGCAAAATGTATTAATTCTCGTGAGCTTCAAGTCATGTTACACTGTTGTTCCCTCCTCAAAAACACTTTTTCGGTTCGTTCCTCCGTTCCGTTCCTCGTCGGCATGGAGTGATGAGTGTGTCTGCGGATGTTGTGTGTTTGCGTGCGCTTTGGATGGTGCGTCTTGGTAGTTTACTGAAGTCGTGCTGGGACACCCGAGTGAATTCGTGTATATCCGTTGTTTTTTGATGGGGTTGGAGGCTTAAGAGCGTGTCCTATGTTGCAGAAAATACGGTAATCCTTTATCATTAGTCTGTCTACATCTCCAAAGCTCAAAATGCTCTGTTCCACCTTGTGATGTCATGAAGCAGTACAGTTGTTGTCAAATTTACAGCTCCTTTTGCTCCTTTTACCTACAGTTCAGTAGAGATCGGCAATTCCAGGGCTGAAATTATCCGAATGATTCTAGTGAAGGTGTATGGAGTTTATAAAGTGGAATATTTCCTGTTTTACCACATGACATCTCAAGTTGGAAGAAAGAAATTATTCTGTTTGAGAGAAGAACTCAGCCTAAATATGCAGTTGGTGTGTTCAACATGTGTGAATGAAACAAAACACAACTCCAGGTCTGTTTGTGATGAGGAAAAAATATTAGAACACAGATCAGAAAATAGCATAATATGGGCACTTTAAAAAACTTTACAAAGATTTTCAAATTAGATTCAATCAGGATTTAGTTCACATTTTGAGAGAAGACTAATAGAAGAAGAATTCCGGAATTTCAGACATGTTTTTGTAATATTTGTCTAAACTTTAGTTCTTTTTTTTTTCTCTAAAAATACCAGATATTTTGTTGTTTGCTGAGGACATTTCACAAAGTAATTGCAGCCTTGGCGGTGTGATAATTGTGTCACTTCAAATTGAAATTCTGTTTTGAATGTAATATTTTCAACACCCTTATACAGAATCTTGTCTGAGAAATTTAGAAAAACAAACACAAGTTTAGCTATTTTGTTTTTTAAAGGGCCCATATTATGTTTTTTTTTTATTTTATTTTTTTTTACGTTTAACAGACAAATTCTCAAAGTCCTGGAATTACCAATTTCTACTGAACAAAGGTAAAAAATGTAGCTGTTAACTTGAAAACTACCACTACATGACATCACAAATTGGAACAGAGCTTCAGAGATCTGACTTAAACTGTGATCTTGGACTGAACCAGGACTGAAACAGGTCCGGGACCAGACTGGAAGCAGACCAGGACTTAGACCGGGACCAGACCATGCCTGAGACCAGGACTGAGGCTGGGACCAGACCAGGACCAGACCAGGACCAGCCCAACACACCAGACCAGGACTGAGACCAGGACTGAGACCGGGACTGAGACCGGGACCAGACCAGGATTGAAAATGGTTTAGTCCTGGTTTAGTCCTGATTCAGTCCTGGTTCAGTCCGTCTGTGGTGCAAAAGTCCAGCATCGCAGTTTAAGTCACGTTATTCATTTAAACACAAAATCGAAAACTTAAAAAAACAAATTGTTATCCATTTTTTAAAAATTTGGTTTTGGAGAAATAATGAAGAAAACTGTTGTTTTTTCATTTTCTTATTTTTGGTTTTATATTGAAAAATGAATGAACGAATGATACATGGATTCTTAAAGTTCACAACAGTCCATTGTGTATAATATAGGACCTTTAAAATCCAGATTTCCGTTCCTCACAAAGAAAGAAGCTACAATTCTTAAAACCCAATTCTCGCTTTTCTAACCTCAAATCCAACCATGTCCTCCACTGGTTTGCTGATTTACGAACTTGGAGCCCCTGGCCTTGTAAATGCCTTCACTGTTGTTCCTTTTCACTTCTTTTTCTGCACCGCTCCTTCACCGGAAAAAAAAATTTGGCCCTGGTTTTTGTCCTCCAGGGATACATAATAGAACTGACCCCGTGCCAAATATTTGCTCTGGGAGGCCTGTAAGCAAGCTTTTTCCTTTATTATTGCAATGAAAATATTGTCCGAGGAGCCCTGGTTCCTCCCTCAGACTAATTCAATCAGCTGGAGTGTTGTGTGTGTCTTTGGGGTTTACGGGTGGGACTGCGGGGGCGCGCCGATTCCACATTGTCCGAAACAGGAACTATAAGCTGGAGTTCAAACGTATCCGGAAGTTACATGGTGATTTTTTACGGTTTCCTATGCTAACACTGCGGCGTGGTTTGGACGGAGGTGGGTAAAGCTATTGTCCATTGTCCAAATATTTTTACGATGAGAACGAAAATGTTTTAGGTGGACTTTTGGGCGTTTAGAATGGCTCCAGAAGTGAGGCAGGACTTTGTATGATTATGACATTAACTGTCCTTTTTTGATGAAGTTGGTCCTTTCAAAGTCAGCACAAAGTTGGAATAATAATTTTGTTACAATTTGTATGTCATCACTGTGCTTAGAATGGCCCACAGTATGATATTTATTCAATTACAGGTGGTTTTACTGCTCAAAAATATCTAGACCTTCCATGAA